AAAATATATGCATGAAATCTCGCCACTTGATCATTTTTGGATCATCACTTCATTCACGCTTGTCACGTCTGATGTGCTAGATGCTCGAAAAAAAAAAATCTCACAGAGAGTTTCATTTCCTGGCCAACGTTGGCCCGTACCTCTTCTTTGTATATTATGGTCCCGATAAATAAATCGTAGCAGCGATGTAGACCGGTATCACAAACGGCGATGATAATCACGCGGCCTGGTCTTGAATCGCATGTTGTCGTCCCATTTACCTGTTTCCTAACCTTTTCTTACACATTTTCCCCTGATGGTTTCCGTTTTTGAACCTGTTTACAGACTGTGTTTGACCTTTTTAACCTCCTGTTCTTCAACCTTTCCGTTCTCTCTGTCTTCTGCCTCTGCAGTATCGACAAGGTGTCTAAAGTGGCCTCCCCCGTGCTGGTCATCCATGGTACGGAGGACGAAGTCATCGACTTCTCTCACGGTCTGGCCATGTACGAGCGCTGCCCCCGTGCCGTTGAGCCCCTGTGGGTGGAGGGAGCCGGCCACAATGACATCGAACTGTACGCCCAGTACCTGGAGAGACTCAAGCAGTTCATCTCCTTCGAACTCCCCACCTCCTGAGGAGGAGCCCAGTCACCAGGCCAGGGTTCATCTCAGCACATTCGAGAAGCCGCCTCCTCATCATCTCCCAGAATTCTCTGTTGGCACAAACACGCGCCTGGAGTCGACTCCTCACCCTCTGCTCCTCTCTTCTTGGAGCGTTTGAAGGTGTGACCTGGCGTGGACGGGTGGAGGAGGTGCTTTTAGATTGTTGAGGTTCTGCTGAGCCCAAGAGCCCCCCCTGCAGGGTGTGTATCCTTAGTTTCCACTGGCTGCTGCTCCTTCACACAGACCCAGTTTTGAGCCTCGGTCCAGACACTGTTTGCACTGCACTCCCGGCTCCGCCCTTTTCTCTCCTTTGACCTTCCATGCTCCGTCCCCTTCTACGTCCTTTCACTGTGAACATCCCCGACTCATTTTTATTCCTACGGCTTCCCTCTTCTTTTCCCATCATCCTTTGCGTTCCCTTTAACTGGGAGTCTTTTCAATCTTGAAGCTTTTTGTTTAGTTTTGTTCTTTTGTATGCTTTTATACCAGGTGAAGAAACATGAATTTTGCACCTCGAAAATTAATCGAAGTTTTCTACTTTTTATGTATTTTTACGTTGCCATTCAGGGTTGATTAAACAGTTGCACTTTAACCGTGCAGACATTTACAAGGCAGATTTACCTGTGTGTTTGGGAAACGTACTGTACATGTTGGTTTGTTCTGTTGCTGACATTCCTTTTTTTAAAAACCTAATCATGATTAGATTTGAAGGAGTGTGTGTGTGTGTGTGTGGGGGGGGTGTAGCTGTTGACTAGAGTGTTGTGTTTTGTTTTATGGAGCCATGATTGTTGTTGTGCACCAAACCCTATCGATTCATCACGTCTTGCTTTCTGGCGGAGGTCGTGAGCGATGGCTGACCGAAGGGGGAGGGGGGGGGGTGAAACATTACTATTCAGATCTGCAGACATTTATAACACAGTGTGCACCATAAGTCACCAGATTGTATCAATGTACCGACTTTGTTAAAGCGGGACAGATAGTTGTCCTGGTCCACGAGCGCTTTCTGTCCTTCTTACGATCGCACCTGTGGGCTGCAGCCCAGAAAGGTCTCCAAAGTCTCTTGGTATAGGACGTGTTTTAGTGTTGACCAGTCCTGACACCAGACACTGATTCTGACGTCTCGTCTCTACATATGCAAGTCTGTACAAACACCGCCCCCTATTGGCCGTTTGTGTTATTTTTCTGAGGGGTAACATCACCGCCTCCAGCTAGTGGCTTATGAGGAGAACTACATGTCTACACGCCGATGTATCACAACGGGCAAAACACCATTGGCAACGTAAAGTGTAACAAATGTGTGAAATAACCGTTAGCCTGGAGGAGTCGGAGCGTTGGTCGTGTCGCAGCTCTTCGTCTGTTTTTATTTCTCAGCCAAACATTCTTAAGCGTGACATTGGTTTCAGTTTTAGTTTCGTCACATTCAGCCACATGTGGTTGATACAGTAGAATTGCAATAATTCATTTTTGTGGTTCCCACAACAAGCATTCAGTGAACACGACATCACTAATCCAAGCCACTGTTGAAAAGGGATTTTGTTGATTTTATTAAAAAAATTGTGTGTGTGTGGGAGGGCATGTGCGTGTGCGCCACCAAGCAACGCAGTGATGGAAATCCCCTGTTATGCGTCATATCTAAGTTGACCAGAGCAGCAGGTACATGGGCTGCACTGGTGTTTACTGGACTTGACAGGAAGACACTTGACTCTGTGCTGCAGTCAGTGAATCCACCTGCAGATCACTGGCACTGAACTGTGAATCCCCCCCCCCCCCCCATGTGAAGGCCTTTAGGATTTATACGTTGATTCGTCTCCATTTGTCATTTCACGCTCCGATCGAAGCCTTACCTTCTCACACATTTCACCCAGACATTCCTGGACTCTCGTGGGACTGATAACTGCTGCTATTCATCAGAGAAGCCAAGTAGTCCCTCGTCAATGTGACAGCGTGGAACCCGAAACCAAATCTAACCTGATCACAGCCACCCAGAACACTGAGGTGCCTCCTCCTCCGTCACTAACTCTGAGTTTGGAGGTTTTGTGTTTGGACGACGAAGTTGACGACTGCACGGCCAGTACATGTGATGGAGTATTTCAATGTGTATTTTTTTTTTCTCTTAAACTTGGTATAATGTCAAACACTAACCCAGAAGATGCCCCTCGGTCAGAGGTTTGAAGGCGATGACCACACGTTAGATTTATTTACCGTCATTTGGTGTTTAAACCTCAGTTTTCATGTTGTCCACAAAATGGCGAAAAAAGTAGCATACATGGCACAGTTAACAACTCATCGCACCAGGGGGTGGCGCTGTGTAAAGGTGCTCATTTTGGTTGCACATCAAATGCTAATGAAATAATTTCATGCTGCTAAGTTCCACAGTCACAGCTACTACGGTTAGCAGCTGTCGGCAAAAATGAATGTGGAGCTAATGCTAATGCTAGCTAGGTTTTTTTAATTCCCTGTGATTTTTTTAAAATTTTTTTTTATAAAAGCTACAAAGTAACAGACTGATCAGATGACACTGTTTTACGTTAATGCAGACTTTAGTTAAAATAGTTTGACTGTGAAGAAACACTACAGTTGATACACTTGAACCAGTTGCTGCTGTTGAGTCTGATTTGTTGTTATCACATCACTGGTCTGCAGACTGACTTTAGTCAGCAGCTCGGAGCTGGAAATAAAACAAAAGATTTAGATTTCTCTATCAGTGACTGTAGATGCAGTTGTCAGTACGACGCCACTTAGTTCTTACATTCAACAGATAGAATGAAATAATAAAATCAGATCAAATAAAATCCAACAGAATCAAGGGAACAAAGGCCAAGGTCTGGCGCCCTCTGTTGGCACCCTCACTGTAATGCTTTCTTTCTACTTGACAACTTTTCTACAAATTATCGCTGACAGACACTCCTGTTTGAAAGCTCATGGCAAGCTGTGGCTCGCTCACTGTTGAGTGTACGTGTGGTTGTTCTGTAGAGGACTTGATACTGACGCTGTTTCCAAATGTTTCAGAATTTGAGAGGTATTTTGAAGGACACCTGTGATAACTGACCTGTGATGTGGTGTGTTGAAGTTCAGCTGAACCCATGACCCCTTGAACCCCCCCACCCTCTCTCTCTCTCTCTCTCTCCACTTTTTGAAGACAAATGTTCTCGATTATTGTTTTGATACTGACGTTTTTACACACGCTCGTGTTTCCAGATGAATGTTGGTTGAGGATGTTCCACTGTCTCTGGACTGATTTGTATGATAACCCTGTGGAACAGTTCTTCAGTATCTGCTCTAACATTAGCCCCTGTGTGGGGCGGTTTCAGAGGTTTTAACACTGGATTTACAATATGCAACATAAAAAGGTAGAATAAGAAGAACCTAGAACCAGATTCTGTTTTAGTGAATAAAAAGTTTCAAATAAGCCTTAAGTACTACATGATACGTGGTCCTGGTACCTGTGACGGTCCATGTCCGAGGGCAGCGTGATGGATGTTTTCATCTTTATAATGGAATAAAGAATGCATGATGGAGCTGCCGTCCTGTCTCACTCTGTTACTGGGGTTAACATCTGGGGCGTGTCACCTGTCAGTCACATCTGTTGACCAATCACAACAGACGTCTCTGATGTTGTTTTCAGTTTATTGTCATTCGTCAAAGTGTTGGGACTTGACATGATTTAATTTAAAGAAATATGACCGACATGACAACAAACATAAAATGAATTATTAATGAACACAGTTCATTGGTTTGACTCACTGATTTAACGACTAGTTTACAACCTGATGGGCTGTAACGATGATGTAGTAAAGTGACCATCACGGTCCTCTCTGTAGGCAGTAGGCGGATGTTTTACATCTGTGGTTTTCACAGTATGAGGTCCGCCTCCCCTGGAGGGCGCCAGAGCTCCTCAAGGGATCAAAACAAGAGAAAAGGCGAGATTGGGGCAACACGTCAACTAGCCAACTAGGAATGGTTGGATTTGTTCCATGTACAATGAGAAGGTATGGCCTAGTGGCTTCCAGTAGTACTGCACTGGGACTGAAGTGGTTCATCAGAAAGTACTACTGCAAGAAAACAGACAGTACCACGGTGAATATTTATAGTTTAGATATTCATGGGCTGGTGTGACATCACCAACACCTCCACTTTGACGCATTCACAGCTTTTGCTTTAAAAAGTCATTTAAGCAGAAAATATTTCTACAAAACTGTTTGCTCGCTGAATTAAGAGAAATACAAAAAAGAAATAAAAAGTCTGGAAATAGAAAACTAAAACTTTAACTGTCTCCACAGAAATGGCAGTAAAAATTCCTCAGAACCCTGAGAAAAAAAAGTCCAAACCTGAACCCACATCTTCTCTGCTGTGGGTTTTTACTTTGTGCTGCACATCATTTAGAGTTGGGGGGGTGGGGGGGGGGCGGTTTGGAATTTTTTTTTTTTTTCAGTGGGGACATCGTTTCTGGTGGGGACATTTTGCACATCCCCCCTGAGTGAGAGGGTATTTTAGGGATGAAGAGTTAGGATTAGATTAATGTTAGAATGTGGATTAAAATTGAGAAACTATTTGTAATAATAATATATTTCAGGAAGCAGTAGAAGAGAGCAGCAACAAAACAAAAAAAGTGTGTCTGTGTGTGTGTGTGTGTGTGTGTGTGTATGACTGACAGCATGTGCTGTAGTTATAAGGTTTGAAAGGATGCTGACCAGTGGAACTAAATGCCTCTCAGGAGTGTGTGGTTACTGACTGAGTCACCAGGAGTTCACTGCCCCGGCAGCAGCAACAGACCTGGTTTCCATGGATCTTGAAGTTGTCTGCATGATGTCTGAACACATGCTTGTGTGTGTCTGTGTGTGGCTCTGTTACTGGTACAGGTATTCTTATGAGGATGAGGTTTTGGGGACGCTGTCCGTTCGGGGATGGGACTAGAATTAGGGTCAGATCGGGGTCAGACGAGGATTAAAAGTAAGCGCTTCTTTGTAATGGTTCAGGTTACGTTGAGGGAGTGTGGAGTTGAAATACATGAGTGTGAAGAAGTTTGGAGGTAAATATACCAGAAAGTGAATGTGTGTATTTGTGGTGAAGGCAAGGAAGTGGAAGACAAATACACACTGTAGACACACACACACACACGTAAACCTGCCAACTTCACGTCTTGCCAGACAAATCTCCTTCTCCATCCTGTCACGGAAACCAAACATCGAGAGCAAAATATTTTGAAAGGCAACATCAACGGTGCTGTGATCCAGTCGGAGTCTGTTTCTCTCATCCTCAGCCTCCATGATACAGCCCTCCCACTGTACTAGGTCTACTGCAGTACCGGGGCTTTTCCTTTACTACAGACACTGTGTCACCTACAGTACAGCAGGTCAGAGGTCACGTTGAGAGAGAGGTCTTTTTGACGAACTGAGGTCAGAATAAAATGGACAAAAAAACGATTACATTGACATTTCTAGCAGACATTTTTATCCGAAGTGACAAGAGGAGGATTAATAATCAATGTGGTTCCTCTGGGAATCAAACCCAGGACTCTCTGCTCTCTGCTTCAGAGGCAAGCGTGCTAACTGCTATGCAATGGAACGGAACCAAATGTATTTATTGCAAATACATTTTCTTTGTTTGTCAAGGCATAGTGACAGGTAGAACAGTTAAAAACTCTTCCACTAGATGGCAGTAGATGAGAGAATCGAAGATGTTGAAGAAGAGCCTTTCTTCAATTCCTGCGAGTATATCAGCGTTGTCTTCAACTAAACCGGCCCGGATTTCACAGCAAGTTAGTGAACTGTGAGTACATTTAAACTCAACCTGTGGTTCACGTAACAAGCCTGGTCCTCTGACCACTGAG